TAGCCTCAAGAATAAAATGGGCATTCCTTAGCCTCTGTTAAAAACCACCCACGCCTTCCTGATTGCGAAAAGCTTCGGTGCGCAGGAAGATCCTGAGACAGCGAGCAGGACCTTCGGGCGCCCCGGGAGGAGATTCCTGCTGCTGCTTCCAGCGAAGGGGGAGATGCTGCCTCCAGACAACGCGCGTTTGTTTGTTTCAGCAATTCCTGCCCGTCGGGCTTCGGCTGTTTCCAAAAAGGTTTATCGCCGTCTGAGCTGTGTGAGCCCCTGCAAAGGATGAGCACGCTTTAGAAACCCCTTTTCCTCCCGAAGAAGCCCCAAACCCCTGTCCCCACCCATCACCCCCAACCCACGGGGGCGCCGGTGCTGAGACCATCGTTTTAAAACATGCGCCGCCCCGCCCGCCCCGCAGGAGCAGCCTCTGCTGAATCCTGAGCGATCTGCTCCACGGCAGAGAGCCCCGCCCCCTGCCCCACCCCCACCTCAGCCCGCGCGTCCAGTTCTCGGGAGAGCCGACCTGTCAGGCCCAAGCGCGCCCGCGGAGAGGCCGGACTGCGAGCTCTTTGCCCTGATCCACATCAGTGACTTGAACTAGCCTCAGACGGAGTTTTCTAGTTGGGCGAACTTCACACGTCTTTGGTGGGAAGAGGAGCTGCCTCCAATCCGGTGCTCTCCGGAAGTGCTGGACTATCTTGCCCAGTGTCCACAGCCAGCAAAACTGCACTACCCAGTGATGGGATCTGTAGTCCAACTCTTTCAGAAAGTTTCCTCTCGAGGTGGCCAAGAAGAACAAACCTAAACCCTGTTCTTACTTCCTGACTCCTAGGATTTGGAAAGTAATGCAACAGAACGCTTTTGAGGAAAGCAAATCCACGTGGCAGGAATCGCTGGAAAATGCCGGTGCCCGCATGCCATTTCGCTGCCCCCGGTGTGGGGACCACGCCCGGTTCAGGAGCCTCTCCTCCCTGAGGGCTCACCTGGAGTACAGCCACACTTTCGAAGACAGAAGCCTTCGGTCCACAGGCGGCCTCTTTTCTCCCCTCAAGGTGGGTCGGGGCTCCTCTCCCCAGCCCCAGCCCCAGGGGACGTTCGGGGATGGCGGCAGCATCCTGAAGCCGAGGCTCTCCTATCTGAACTTCTGCGAGCCGGAAGATCCGCGGCCCAGGAGGCCCCTGGCGGGGGAGGCGGAATGGCCGGCCGACCTCGGATCCAGCCACGCCTCGGGCGAGTCTGCCCGGGACCCCGCTGGGAAGGCCATGGACTCCGGCACCTCCTTCGAGGCTCACGTGCGGGAAAAGTTCAACCGCATGGTGGAAGCCGTGGACAAGACCATCGAGCGGAGGATGGAGACCCTTTCCCGCCAGCTGTCCCAAAAGACCGCTGAGCTCTTGGAGGTCCGGGCGGCCTACGCGCAGCTCTCCCAAAAGAAGCAGGAGGTGCAGCGGCGCGAGAGGGCCCTGAACCGCCAGGTGGACGTGGCGGTGGAGATGATCGCGGTGCTCCAGCAGCGGCTCACCGAGTCGGAGGAGGAACTGCATCGGAAGGAGGAGTAAGTCGAACACGGCGAACCCAGGTCCGAGAGGGCGGTGCCCCCCGCCATGCCTGTGGCCCTGCTGGGGCGGGGCGATGGGAGCGGGTGTGGGGAGGCTTCTCCAGCCTTGCCATCGGCGTGGAAGCTTCCCCCTGACCCAAGGGGCCGCTCAGGGCAGCGGAAGGCTGCAGCTCACACCCTCTGTTAGACCTGTCGCCGTTCTCGGAATCGTTGGGCAACGGCTGGAGAAACGGCAGCCTTTTCTCAAGCAAGCCATTGCGCAGGATCGGTGTTTTCATCTGCTTAGTTACCTGCTTTGCGCCAAGTCTCACCCCGGGGCTTGGGCCTGTCCCTTGCCACAGATTCCTTGGGGTTCCCCTTTTCTCATAGCAGCTTGTGTACAACTAGGATGCCTTGCAGGCAGGTGCCTGAGTGAGATGAAGCCACGTTTGGTCTGGTTTTAAAACTCATAAGAGAGAAATTGGGGGGTGGGAGGGAAGCGAGGAGGTAGGGCTTGTGAAGGACTTTCCCTGGTGGCAGCAATAAGGGTGAGGGCGAGGGCTGGCGTGAGGCGCTTCCTCCCCCGCCTGGTGTGAGTGGGTCTTTGCGGGGATGGGCTCCATCGCCTCAAAGCGTCTGCAGTCAGTCCAACGCGCTGCATGGTTGGCAGAGCCCCCCCAGTGAAAGGAGGAGAGGGAAAACAAGGGCAAAGTCTGGCTTAAACTGACGGGTGTGCTGGGTGTCTGAATCACCCGTGTCTGGCTAGGCAGAGCCCCGAGCCCCAGAGCAATTGCAAGTCAGGCCTGTCGCCAAGGGGAGATGGGAAGGCCACGGTGGGCCCAGGCGGCTCATTCTGCCCTTCCCTTTCCTATCCTCTCTGGCGGGTCGGAGCACAGATCTTGACTATGCTTTCAAGCGCCCGCTCTCCTCTAGGACAGCCTGCCAAGGGCACTTCTTCAGGCAGGTCCGCTTCTTTAAGGCCCTCCCTCCTTCCCTCTGGGGTGGGGGGAGTGGTCCCTCTGTTTCTAGCCCCTGGAAGTGTGGATCTTGAAACGCGGTCAGGATTCCCATTGGAGCTGTGGAATCAAAACGCAGGACACAAGTGCAAAATAACCAAGGCTTCACTGCAGTGTTTATTAGGCAGTGCGCACTGGAGGGGGACCCCACCAAAGGTTAGTGGGAGGCACTCCCCTGTAGGCAAAATGGATGCTCTGATATTTATACAGTTCTCCAAGAAGGGGAAGGGAAGAAGAACGCACACGCACACATATTCATACGATGATGCAGGCATGCCACCTAAATAAGGAATACTTCTCAGGTTGCTTTCTGCCCCTCTGTTATCTGCTATCTACAAGGAAAACAATGGTATCACAGAGAAGAAGAAACAAATTAGTTCAAGGTGCCAAATGCCAGGAAGAAGGCGTCCTCACTCAGGGCAGATGCCTAAGTTGCTATGGGGATGTTTATGATAAGGAGTTTACAACCAGCCCAGTTCGCACCAGCTTCACATTCCTTTATGCTTCAGTGTTATTAAGGCGATCCCGTTCGTCTGAGGCCTCTGAAAACTTGCTTCTTTCAGTCAAAGGTATATTTTCCTCACAGAGCCCAAAGATATCTGAAAGGAGCTAGGGTGGAGACATCTTTCTCGGGGCCAGGTCAGCCTGGAAGATGCTTCGCCCAAGGGGTCTCTCCATTACAGGGAAAGTGTGTGAGAGGCCCTTGGCCCCAGAGCTTTTCCTCTGCCAGCCAGCCAGCCAGCCAGCCAGCCTTTCAGTTTCCCACAAGGCCTCTGCCCGGATTTGCCAGGGCGTTGCGTGAAATCAAAAGGTGCCCTGCACTGTCGGCCCACCCTTTCCCCAGGGCTCCTTGGGAGCCCAAGCTGGCCTCGGTCTTTGAGCGGACGCCTGCAGTGCAGCTCCTTGGGCCTGTGCCGGCAAAGGAGGCCTCCCTGGGGCTTTCTGCGTGGCACTAGGTCCACTGCCGCGTTGCCTCCTCTGCTCTTCTGGCGTAAGAGTGCCACGTGACCGTGGGCAAGGAACCCCTGCGGTGTCTGGAAGTGCCTCTCAGTCCAAGGCTCCGCTCCAAGGTGTGCTGCAGCCTTCCAGGGGAGAAATCCAGGGGTTGCGTGCAGACTCTGCGTGAGGGGTGCTCTCCTCAAGTGCCAGGAGCCGCCTCTCCCGCTCGTGGCCCGCTTTTTCTCTCCAGGGAGCAAGGCTCTGAATGGGGGGGGAAGCAGGCCTTAGGTTTTGTCCCCCGAACGTCTGTTTCCAGAAGTCTTTGCTTCCCCAGTCTGGTCCTGGAAAGCGCAGCATCGGGCTGGCTCTGTGTGCATCAGGAGCGCAAGAGGGCAGATCTCCGGACGGAAACTGGGCGTCTGCTCCTTCTGCCGCTGCTCTTTGCAGCCACAATCCCAACGGAGCTGTTTTGTGGCCCTCGCAGAGAAGTTGTTACGTTTAATCACTTCCTGGAGGAGGCGGCTGAGAAGGAGGTTCGGGGGAAAGCCAGGCTGGAGCGCTTCATTGAGAACCTGCTGCAGCGAGTGGATCAGGCCGAGAAGCAGCTGGAAAAGTACCAGAATCAGCAGGGGTCCGGGGACATCAGCGAACATCTGGTGAGTGGACAGGAGGGTCAGTTCAGGGGAAGGACGCTCTGAAGGGGAAGGCTGTCTCTGCTACGAAGGAGAGATGCCTCTCTGTCCCAAAGGTTGGCCCTCAGAACTGGCCCTGGAGATGCATTCCTTTGTGACCTTATCACTTGTGTGGCAGCTTCGTTCCCTAAAACGAAGGAAGGGAGGCGATCCCCATATTGGGACTTTCTATGAATCTCTTGGCCCGGCGTGAGTGGTGGCCTCTGGCTGCTGCATCGAACCCATCACAGTTGGTCATCAGAGGGACGTTTGGCCTGCATGATATGGCCTGGCCTGTTTTTTAAAAAATGGAAATTCCCATCTGGATTTCTGGGGGAAAAGGTTTTCCGCTGAGGGAGGAAATGCTTCAGATACAGGCAGTCTGCTGAGTTGGAGGCAGCAAGTGTGTGCACCTGCAGAACGTGATTGTCCTTATCGTAGTTTCCTTCAGGTTTCTAGGAAAAAACAACTCGCACCTCCTCCAAAGCAGCCGAAGCCTTTTAAAGCAAACGCAGCACTAAGCCACCATAAACACCAAACAGGATGGTGGTTTGCTTTCTGCAGTGATGCTGCCATAAATGAACCAGGCATGGCTAATTTGTTCAGGCAATGTAAAAATCACAAATGAAAAGCGGGTTGGTGGTAAAAGCCCCGAGAGCTGATATTTGAAATAAAGACAGAAATATCTTCCTGGAGCTGCCTGCCAGGGAAATAGAATCGGTGACTAGGGCAGGCAAAGGACCGGGCTGTGGATTGTAGCACTCTGTGACTTTCTGTTGGTCAAGAATATGTTCTGTTGCATCACTGAAGCTTTCGGATTTCTGTGTGTGTCTATTTGGAGGCAGAACTGACCTTGGAAATCTTAGCTTTCTTTGAAACAAAATCAAGTTTCTAGTCCCTCTGCCTGTGAAAACACGTTTGAAAATTTTTAAGCAAAGTTTACTGAAATCTCAGAAAACCTCAAAGTGACTAAAAGTAGCTCCCAGCAGTCAGCAGCTTCGGACTTCGGGATCCTCAGTTCTTGATGCTGCTCATAAATAGTATTGCTATAATAAATAATGCAAAATGGCAAATGTCGAGGAATAAAATACCTTATCCTGACTTGCTCAGTCTCCATAAGGTTAGGAGCAGGCCTGTATCTGTTTTCCAGGGCCCCTGAATCCCAGGGTCCTCCAAGGACCGAGAGTAGCTTTAGGAGACATAAAACACCTGAAGCTCATCAGCATGAAACCCGGACAGATCAGATAATCCTCCAGAAGAGAGTTAGGGAAACCTTGTTTGCTCTGGTTGTCCATTTAGGTAAATTTCAATAAAAACTAGCCTGCAGTTGGTTAATTCTTACTATGCTCTGTCTTCTGGAAATAAACCCCATTGATCTCAGCAGAATTTGCATCTATATGTAAAAGAGCGCTATCACAATAATCAGTAAACAATGATTGATTAGTATTGGTTCAGGTCAGTCTTAATAATTTCTTCCTTTTTTAGTTTACAGATCTGTCATCCATTAAGAAACCCAGATGCCTGTATGTATGACATTCCCTCTCCTTACTATGAACGTGTCTGATGTTGTGCCGCTAAAACTGCATGTTTTCTGTTTCCCAGGCTTCCTTTGCCAGATCTGACTGATTCTCCCCTCTCCCTTCACATTTACAGCTGGGGATACCAACACAGTTTTTGTAGCACACCTGACCCCAAACCGCATTCGCTTCAGAAAGGGCGGGTGTTCCTGAAGAAAGCCAAGGAGGACAGAATCAGTGCTCACCCAGTTAAATGGTTTTATGAACCTGTGGACGGTTCCAGGGACATTTGGAGACCCCAGAAGAAAGCAGACGCGGGCAACAACATTGTCCGAAAGGTTAACGTGAAATCAAAGATCGGCAAAAAGAGCAAACCGCTCTACTAAGACACCCATATATATCTGTGGTATGCGTGCGCGTGTGTGTGGATGCGTGTGGTTAGATAGATCAATAGATCTGTATTCTAAACTTAATTCGCTTTTGATCAAAATCAGAAGCTCTTGGCTGGAGCCCCCAGAAGGATTCTCTGGGGGTTTGCTGAGCAGAGATCCCCTGAGTTCGGCTGAGAACTTTTGGCATGAGAGGGACGTGGGAATCCCAGGGTACAGTCATCTACCTGTTTAGGTGGGAAGATCTCCTTGAATTTAGGGGACTGACTTCCCAGAAGCTGCACGTAGCAAAACTTAATGATTATCTATTTCCCTGTTCATTTGGGCAAGGACTTGACATATTTAAGATATATATTAATTGAATTTAATAGACATGACGTGTAAATATAGAAGGCTAATTTAACTGCCTCATTTCCACGTGGCTTTGAATGCGAGGTGGTGTTTGGTTTATTTTCAACAGCTTATTTCAGCGAAGCCAGCATTTCAATTTATTACTGAACTGTTCATGTTGTTACCAGCATAACACAAAGAGATAATTTGGCAAGCAACTTTGACGTAAATCCTTTTCCTGTAGAGGAATCCATTCTACCTGGCACCCTGAAGATTAACTTGTTGTTTGGGGTCCAGAATGCCCCCCCCCCCCCCCCCCCCCCCC